ACGGGGTCTCGCTCTTGCTCAGGTTGGTTTCGAACTCCTGAACTCAAACAATCCGCCCGGCTCGGCCTCCCAGAGAGCTAGGATTACAGGCGTGAGCCACCGCGCCCGGCCAGAATCCGGCAACTTATTCAAGACAACTAGCGCGGTTTCTGCAGAGTGTCTGTGGCAGAGGCTCTCACACTTGGAAGCGCGCCAGAATCACCAGAGGGCCTGTCAGACACGGGCGCTGGCCCCACTCTGAGGTTCTGATTCAGTAGCACCGGGGTGGGGCTTGAGAATTTGCATGTCTGACAAGTTCCGAGGTGATACTAATTCAGGAACCACTCTGTTCTATGGCAGGGCTTTGTTCTGAATTAGAAGACACTTAAGAGACACTAGTCACATGCAACATGTGGGCCTGGTTTAGATCTTGATTCAAATAAACCAACCATACAATGACATTGTGGCCATCGAGATAGACAGGAGAATGGTGGTTGCCAGGAGGGAATGAGGAGTTATTGTTTAATGAATACAAAGTTTCAGTTATGCAAGATGAAAAGAGTTCTGGATGGATGGTGGTAATGGTTGCACAACAACGTGAATGCACGTAACACCTCCGTGCACTTAAAAATGGTTCCATGGCTGGGCTCAGTGGCCCATGCCTATAACCCTAACATTCTGGGAAGCCAAGGCAGAAAGATTGCTTGAGGCCAGGAGTTCAAGACCATTCTGAGCAAAAGTGAGGCCCCATCTCTACAAAAAATATATATATATACAAAAAAATTAGCCTGGCATTGTGGTCACAGCTACTTAGGAGGCTGACACAGGAGGATTGCTTGAGCCCAGGAGTTTGAGGCTGCTGTGAGCTATGATGGCGCCACTGCACTCTAGCCCAGATGACAGAGAGAGACTCTGTCTCAAAAAAAAAAAAGAGAAAAGGTTAAATGGTAAATTTATGTTATGTGTATTTTACTACAATTAAAAAATTGGGAAAATGACATTATATGTGTACTAGATGATATGGAAGAATTCTTTTACTTGTGCTAGATATAACATAGTTACAGGGATTATTTGAGAAAGATTTAGCATGTTTTAGAGATGCACATTGAAGTATTCAGGGAATGAAATGACATGATGTCAGAGATTTACCTTCAAATACTTTAGCAAAAAAGTGAATAGAAGAAGCAAGTGTGATGAAAACATATTATAGTTATTGAAACTGATGATAGATATATGGGGATCCTATTTTTGTTTGTTTTGAAAACTTTCATAATACAAATTTTATTTAAAATGGTCACCATTATTTAAAATGGTGACCATTTCCTAGCTCTGGGCCTTAGTTTCTTTAGCTGAAAAATGGGGATGGGGATGGCATTTGAATTAGATCAACAACCTATGCAAGGGACCTCCCTGAGGGGCCTGGCAAAATCTACTGGGGGCTTTTAAGTTCTCCAGCCCTCCCCAGCCTGGATTCTGACATGAGCAAGAATGTCGAGGACTGTCTGACTCCCTCAAGGGAGGCTGAGGAGAAGGGATAACTACTAGGAACTGGGCAGCTCAGGCCCCTGCCAGCTTGGCTGTCATGAAAATCTTAGCCTGTCAAGGCCTCAGGATGAAGCTGACCTGGGGGAACCTGGGGCAGCTATTGGCTGGGGCTTAGGAAGCAAGGCTCGGGAACTGATTCAACGACCCATGTGCCTCTGAAGCCACTGGGGGTCTGTGAAGCCTCCAGACCTGAGTAAATCTGGCCCACACCAAGTGCTAGGGTGCCTGGGCAGGCCAGTAGCGGGACATCCCTACTGAGGCCAGCAGAGACAGGGAGGAAGAGGCACTGAGGACAGCTCAGGCTCTCTTCTCCTTGGTCTCCCTGAACAACTCATTTTAGGCAGCATAATCTGCTCCCATGTGTCCTCTCACAGTCTCAAGCATTTGTCTGACCCAGACAGAATGGAGACATTCAGAAGGAGAGATCCTGAAAACACAGGGTTCAAAAGGAGGCGAGACAAGCCCGTTGGCGGTAAAGTGAGCCCATTTGATACACCCTTCACAGTAAAACAAAGTGGGCCCAAGTGCCCGTGAAAAAGAAGGCTTTCAAAGTAACCCTAAAACGGCATAAAAGAGGGTGCACTCACAATGATTAGAGAAACCCTCCAAGGGTCTGGAACCAACCAGCCAAGTGCAAAATGCAAATGTGCGGTCCCTTGTTCAAACCTTTTTAACCACTTTGGTACCAGCGTCAACTATAGTCGACAGCCACAGATGAACACGCACAGAGACTTTAGCCCACAGCCATGATAGGAAGGCGCACAGCCAAGCGTCAACTTTACCCAACAGCCGTGATATGACTTTTCTAATTTTTCATTTATCAAAATAAAATTGCGAACATTTAAAAATAACGTAATGAAAACATATATGTATATGTTACCTATTCTGATTTACAAGTAAAGCTGCCTGTAAAGTAAAACAAGCTTTCAGTGCTTTAAAGCTTTCCTCATCACACGAGAGCAAGACGGATCCGTCGTCCGTGCACAGCACAGACTACCATGTGGACTGCGAGTGCGGCTGTGGGCGAGGTGTCACAGCCGGTGGGCGCCGTCCCGAAGTCGTTAAGAATTTCAAGACATGACAGTAGAGCATTAAACGAAGCTTGTGCCCTGTGTGAAGTGAATCCCGGGCTGTGCCCCGCAAAGCCAGCCCTGCCTGAGGGCCCATTTCCCTGCCCAGACTCCAGTGGGGCTGAGGGGCCTCCCTCCATCACCCGCCCACAGTGGGTCTGGGCTCCAAGGGCTGTAAGGAGCTGGGCACAGCTATCCATTTCCTTCTTGTCCTCACAGGGCACCCTGACCCCTCCCCAAGGAGGAGGGCATGCTATGGCCCAGCTGCCATACTGGGGTGTTCAGAGCAGGCCCTGGCACTTCGTAAGCTCTCTTCAAATCATGCCCTGTAGAGAGATGTGGCCCGCTTGGTCTCGCTCACAAATGGTTCCTAGGGTTCCCCATGAGGACCTGCAGCACAAAGGGTCTGAGCTTGAGTCTCTCTGCTGCCCTTGCAAGGGATGGGACCTTGAGTAAGCCATACTCCACCGCTCTGGCCCTTGGCTTCTTCCTTGCCTGTAAAATGGGGCAATAAGAATCAGCTCTCAGGCTGCCGAGAGACATGGGACGCACGTGCAGTTAGCACCCCATGAATCGCATCTGCATGCCGTTGGCGCTGCGAGGCTGTGGAGCCGCCTCCTGGGACCCTCCTTGTCCACTCTGGGTCCGTTTCTTCGTGTCAGGTGGAGACGGGAAGGTATCAGGGCAACGCCTCTGCCAGTGCCTCCACGCTCTGCCAGTTCCCTAAGTTTTACAAAGAACCCCTCTCTCCTTTTACAAGTCAAAACTTTAACAATCTAATAGTTTAAAAGCATTTACGTGGTGCTGCTATGGGATGAATTTTGTCCCCCAAAAAAGATATGCCAAAGTCCTAACCTCAGCACCTCAGAACGTGACCTTATTTGAAGACAGGTCTTTACAGAGGTAATCAAGTTAAAATGAAATCATTAGGGTGGGTCCTAATCCAATATGCCCAGTGTCCTTATTAAAAGGGAAAATTGGTCAGAGACATGCTAGAGAAGACAGCATGAAGACACACAGGGAGAACACTGTGTTAAGGTCAAGGCAGAGATCTGGGCGATGCTTCCACAGGCCAAGGAACATAAAGATTGCTGCCAACCGCCAGAAGCCAGGCAGTGGGTGGCACTTTGTTACAGTAGCCTTGGCAAGCTAATACAGGTGCCATCAGGGGCCAGGCATTGGGCCAAGAATTACCCTCATAACAGCCCCTGGAGGTGGCCACTGTTGCCATCACCATCCTGCTCCAGGCTACTCTGTGAGCTCTGGCAGCCCAGCCCCAGAGCCTGTGTGTCCAGCCACTGCCCTGCACTACCCCGCAGGTTAAACGCTGTCAAGAGACCTTTGTGCGTGGGCGATCTGAGGTCTTCCCAGGGTTTCTTTTTATTTTACCGTGAGCCAGAAGTCCTTGGCCTGGGCTGCTCATAGCGTCACTTACTCTGATTTGGGGACACCCTCCAAGAGACTCTGCCTCAATGGTCTGGGCTACAGCCTGGGCCTGCCCCAGGGAGTCTGATATGGCCCTGTTAGGATCCACTGGCCCAAGCTTGCTCTTATCTTTCAGTCTAAAGGAGACTTCTCCACTAAAGATGAGAGAAGATGCCTGCTCTGGGGCCTCGGGGCATCCAGGTCCCACAGTCCTAGAGGGCGGGAGACCATTTGTCCTGTCCTCAGGCACAGAAGGGGAGCCGGAAGCCAGGCGGCACCTTCAGAAGCACAGTCAAGCCAGCAAGTCAATCCCAAAGGCCTCCTTTGGGATGCAGGGAGCCCTGGAGGACCTTGCAAGCTGTTGGGTGAAGCTGGGACAGAGAGGTGTCCCAAGGCCACCACACCGCAGCATGGTGCATGTGGGGACAGAGCCAGGCAGGAGTGGGCCTTTAAGGAATCAGGAGGCATCATCAATGCTCCGGAAAAGACCCAACTTGCTTGAGAGACACTTCTGAGCTCCTGCTCCATGACTACTGCCTCCGACCTGGCCCAGCCTCACCCCGAGGCAGCCTAAACCTGTACTCCCCACCATGACTTGAGTGTGCAAGATGTCATGGCCCTGAGCCACCCCTGCACCCTCCCACCAGCAGAGGACCCAGCCCCCAAGCTCTTGCTCCCTTTCAGGGGAGACCCGTTCTAAAGAGAAAGCCATGGGAGGCAGCAGGCTGGACAGGAGTCCTAGTTCAAGGCCCTATCACCCACTTCCTAGGTGACCGCATACCCTTCTCATCTCAACTTCCTGACCTGTCAAAAGGGTAGGCAGCTATTGCCCTGCCTTGCTCGATGTATGCATGGGGCCAGGGGCTTGCTGTTGAGCATGGCAAGAGACTGCACGGGAGGGCGGGAAGGTCCTGTGCAGGTTGGGGTGGAGGTCCATGAGGGCACCCCTCTTACCCCATGCCTGCCACCCTCTCCCCAAACCTTCAGGATCTTTTCCAGCTGCTTCTGCGTGTCGACCACGATGATGTTGGCGCGGCAGTCATGGGAGATGTACTGGCAGGCCTCAGGGGAGCTGGTTGTGTAAATGCCGGTGACAATGCCGCTGCAGGAGACCCCGGAGGATTTGTGTCAGGGCAGGTGCAGAGGGGCCACCCCTCCCCCCACCCCCAGCCCCTGCAGCCCCAGCCCCAGAGAGCTCCCATGGCTCAAACAGGCCAGGCTCCCACACCAACCATCTGAGCACAACTGCCCCAGCAGGGGGTGCAAAGACAGGTCTGAGAGAAGGCCCCAGGAAAGAGGTGGGACGTTGGGCAGTGGAGGGGGGTTCTAAAAAGAGTTATCGACCCTTTCCTACTCCCTGTCCTCCACCAACCCACTGGGGTTCCCACCCCCAGCCCAGCCACTCACCCTGCAAACACCGTGCCCACTGCCGAGAAGAACCATTCCGGGGCGTTGAAGCCAAGGATGGCTACGCTGTGGGCCCGCTCCAGGCCGAGCTCCAGGCCAGAGGCAAACGGGCCAGGTCAGCCAGGCAGAGAAAGGACCTCTCAGGCCCCACATGCCCCTCCAGGTTGCAAGGGACCGCCCCCACCTCCCAGGGTCCACCCAGAGAGTCGGGAACCCGGCCCCTCAGCCCAGCACACTGGGCTTCCCAACCCACCTTGAGCGTGACAGCAAATGAAAAGCTGGTGTCAAGTGCCCAGCACATGGTAAGGGCTCAGCAAATATAAAATCCTCAGTACAGGGCCCAGCACATAGTGTTGGCTCAGTGAACAGGCATGGTTCAGGCATTTACAGCTATGGTTTCTAAGGGCCTTTCCCGGTGGAGAGTGGAGGAGGAGGCCTGCAAGGGCCCTGGAGCTGGAAGGGGGGTCTAGGGGAGGGAAGGCCATGTTTGGCGGGGCCCTCACCTTCAGGAAGCCCTTGGCAGCCTTGCGGGCGAGCAGGTAGTACTGGGAGTAAGAGATGTGCTCCCACGTTTCCTGGCGCTTGAAGCCCAGAGCCCTGAGGTCCCCATACTTGTCCAGAGCCTCGTAGAACATCTGGTGCACAGTGTAGGGAAGCTGTGGGCAGCTGGCGTCCATCCGCAGGCGCACCCGCCCATCCGCCTGAGTCGTCCACAGCACCTCCTCTGCAGGGGGAGACCGAGGCTTGCATCACGCCAGCCTGGGGCTGTCCTCAAGGGATCCCAGTACTGCCCTGGGCAGAGCTCCCAGCCTGCACGTCCTGACAATGCCTTGGGCACTAGACCATGGGGCTGACAGGCAAGCCAGAAACTGGGATAGGCTGGGAGGCTGCCTGGAGGAGGAGGTCTGACTCGGCCTTGAAGGATGAGCAAAGCTTAGGAATGCAGCAGGGAAGAGGGGAGAGACCAGCTGGCGAAGACCGGGAGGCCCTAGAGACACAGAAGCTTCTGGACTTGGTTCCGCATTTAGCCCAGCTGGGATTTGCCTCTCGAGGTTAGGCAGTGAGCTCGGTCAGATCTCCAGGTGCCTTCATGGTTCCCATCCTTCCCCTGCCTGTTGTGAATGGATGGGACAGACCCACTGAACAGAAGGTCAAAGGTGCATGTGGGGACAGCCAGGCAGGAGTGGGCCTTTAAGGAATCAGGAGGCATCATCAATGCTCCGGAAAAGACCCAACTTGCTTGAGAGACACGTCTGAGCTCCATGACTACTGCCTCCGACCTGGCTCAGCCTCACAGAGAGTGACCCTCCTAAGGATCTGGAGGAGACAGAACACCAGCAGACCCTGATCTCCAGCCTGAAAAGTCTCCAGTCCCAAGAAATACCACCAACAACAGTCTTTGTTTATTCTCCCTCACAAGAGGCCTCTCATTAAGTCTTCGCAGAGCAGGTCTGGACAGCCCCATTTCAAGGTGGGGCTCCTGCAGGTCACAGAGGTTTGGTCATTTTCCCAGGGTCAGACATCGGGAGGTGCAGAGTCAGGATTTGCACTCAAGTGTGTCTGATGCCACAGATCATGCTGGGAACACTTGAAAGCTTACTCTGTGTGCAGTGGGTAGCAACAGAGACTTGCCACTTAGTGTGCAGGACTTGGGGCAAGCCACCGAAAGCTGAGTCTGTTTCCTCAGGGAAAGATGAGGATTCAGCTCTCAGGGTGGATATGAGGATCAAAAGAAATAGTGTATATGAAAGAACCCTGGCATATAGTTGGTGCTCAATAAATGCATACTTTTCTTCCTTCTCCCTTTTCCAAGTTCTCCAAATTGTTTGCAAAGGAAGCTTAGAAGGGTGGTCTGGACACTTTGGGGACCTGGGGCCTCCTTCCCCTGGGGCAAGGGTGGTCATTCTAAGATACACCCTCAGGAAAGGGGGTGGCCAGGACCAGTGGGGCTGCACTGCCACCTGCTGGCCAGACAGACCCACCTCTTCTGCTGTTCTGTCACTGGCTCTTCCCTGAAACCAGCCAGTGGACTAGATGGCCTTATTCCTCTCCTTTGACACTCTTAGATTGCACGCAGACTCTGAGGTTGGCAGAAAGGGGTGACTATCTTGGGGCTGGGACAGGAGAGCCCCTTCTTCCCCCTGTGGAAGCCCAGGGGGTGGTGACAAGAGCATGTACCCAGGCCCAAACAAAAGAAGGAAAGATATGAGGTAGGAACATGACAGCCTTCTGGAAATTCAGGCTGGGGCAGGAGAGGGTGCCAGAGAGGCCTTATGTATTGGTGGAGGCCAAGACCATGCTGGGGGGTATCCACTCGTCGCCCCAGGATGCATGCCCCTGCCACCAGCCAGGCTGGAGCCCCTGCTCTAGGGTGGAGGTGTGAGCCAAGGAGTGCGAGCCCCCCTCCATTCACTCCTCATACTTCTCCAAGCCCTGTCCCCATATCTCGGGACCCCAGCCTGGCACGCGCCACTGATCCACCTCTTCAGAGCTTTCAACCTCTGTATTTTGCTAAAGTCCATACCCAAAGCAGAAAGTCAAGTGCACCTAGGTTCAAAACCTCGATTATGTCACTACCTATGGAGTGAGCTAACAGGTCATTCTCCTCTCAGCTGCATTCTAATCACCTGCAAGTGTGAGGGGTCAGTGAGTACATGGGGACAGTGGGGATACAGGGCTGGTGGAAAAGTGAGAAGGTACAGCCACATTGGAAAACAGTTGAGCAGTTTCTTAAAGCACTAAACATGAATTTACCATACAACAGAACAACTCCACACTTAGGTACTTCCCCAAGAGAAATGAATAGACGTCCCCACAGAGACTTGAAGACTTGTACATGGATGTTCTCAGCAGCATTTATAACAGTCAAAAAATGGAAATAAGCCAACTGTCCATCAACTGGTGAATGAAAACCAAATTGTAGTCTGCCGTGTGATGGAATACCATTCTTCTCTTAAAGGGAACAAGTGCTGACACAGGCTACGACATGGGTGAAACTCAAAAGCATGTTCCGTGACAGAAGCCAGATGCAAAAAGACCACAGGCCATGTGATGCCATTTATACAAAGTATCTAGAAAAGGTAGCACTGAAGGCTAATAGCTGCCTGGGGCAAGCGGTGGGAGTAGAGAGTGCCCACAAAATGGACACAAGGGATCTTTGGGGGTGACAGAAGCATTCTACAATTGGATTGTGGTGATGTTTGTGAAACTCCATAAATTTGCTAAAAATCATTAAACTTTGCATGCAGAATGGTAAATTCAGTGCCATATGGCACTGCTCAATAAAGCTGCTTTAAAAAAAATGAGAGGAAGAATGTTGCCCTCCCAAAGTGTTGCAAGGACCCTGTGTGCTGCACGGTGGCAGGCCCAGGCTGGGCAGACAGCCGCTGCTCTTCCCGCCTGCATAGGGTTCCTCAGGGCCTGGCCCAGAAAAGGTCTCCTCTGGGCACTTCCGAAAGCTCCTGCTTGTCTGCAGGCAGCCCTTCTCCCAGGTTGCCAAGAAGAGCAGAGGTAAGTCTTGTGTGATCTGTTGGCATAGCTTCCCTCAAGCCAAAAGTTTTAACTTGAACATTTATAATCTCTTTTTTAACGATGAAAATATGCACACTTTTGCTAAGAGATAGGAAACAGTTTAGAAGTCTATGCTGTGCCAGTGATCGGCCCTCCTTACACAAACATATGTACAGGGAGTTAGGGTTTATGTTGCTGCTGCTACTGTTGCTTTAACAAAAAGGGGGGGTAGAGATCATGTCATTGATATTAGTGTCTTAATCAAGGGTGGCAAATCCCAAATGCCAGTGGGACCAGGTAGATGATGTGTCAGGATCATAATAAATAATGTATAATAATAAATTAATGAAGTGCCCCAGGATTTGCAAGTGAAACCCAGAGATATAGTCTTTTCCACAGGGAAACAGGCTCCCTCTCATTTTCCTTGAGACACGTGGCACTTGGAGTCCACCCTTTGTTCCTATGCTTTTGATGGAGACCTGCAGCAGTGTAATATTTTTCTATTATAAGAAAAGCTACAAAGTTCCACAGATCTATCGTATGACATGGTGACTATAGTTAAGAACAATGTATTGTAGTCCTGAAAATCGCTAAGAGTAGAGTTTGTGTTCTCACCACAGAAAAACATGTGAAGTCCTGCATATGTGAATTAGCTCTATTTAGCCATCCCACAATGTCTACATGTTACAAAACAACATGTTGTACACAATAAATACATCCAATTTTAATTTGTCAATTAAAAATCAATTCAAAAAAAAGAAAAGCTATACTAGGAGGGCAGTGATAATTGTACGGGCTCTGGCCTCAGCGTCAGGGAGGCCACAGGGAGTGGTGGGGTCTGGGGTGGGCGAGAGCATCTTCATCCAACCGGTGGCTGCTCCCACCTCTAGGGCTAGTGCCCACCAGGAACAGAAACCAAGCACTACCGGAAATCTGGGTGTCTGTGTTTAAAAAAGTATTATGTGGACCAAATCAAACACAGCCCTTAGCCAAGGCATGCACATCGAGTTTGGGCGGCATTAACAAGTCTCTGTCACCACGTGTGCGTGTTGCGCGACTACTCAACGCTCCATTGTCGGTGGTGTCATAGTTCACTCTACCACTTCCCTATTGAAAGACACCTGGTGATTTCCAGCCTTCGGTCCTTGTTCTAGGCTTTCCAAGAGATAGATTTCTAGAAGTAGGTTTACTGGATCAGAAGAAAAAGGTGCTTAAAACCTGATGGACATTTTGGACAGAGTTCCTCAACTAATTTCTCTTTTCCCATTAATGACGTGGTTCTGCCTTTTTCCTATTTTTTTTCCCTCATGGTCTGCAAGGTCAGTCTCCTCCTAGCCCAGCTGGAGGGAACTGAGACTGACGGGGACAAGAGACCTGGCCCTGGAGGACCCTATGCCCCTTGAGAAGAGCGATAAGGCCCACTGGCCAGCCCACGGCCTGGCCCTTTCTCTCCACAGCAGGACCTGTCTGAGTGTCTCCACCAGCCAGGAGATAAGACCCTGTTGGGAAAGGGCCTGACCCACTCACCCTGAGGCCCCCATCGTCTCCAGCCTGCTGAGCACCCATCATGGCCAGCGGGACCCTGTGCCGGCCGTTCTTTGCCCATCACCTCCTAGCTAAAGCTCTGAGACTCAGGGGGCTGAATGAGTGCTGGCAGAGCTGACCAGCAGAAAGAGGATGGAAACCCACACCACCTGATGCCCAAGTCCACGCTGCTCCCATCAGGCATGTGGCCTCTTAGAGTGGGCTTCAAGACAGGCCTGGGCACCATATCTCCTCCAGGAAAGGACCATCGTGCCCCCTTCCCAAGTTCTGTGCTGGGGCTCAGCCTGGGTGACCTTGGGCAGCCACTGGCCTTTTCCCACATTGCTGAGGCTCCCTGAGTGATCTTTCTAAACCCAGATCTGAACTGCTTAAAAGCCTCTGACAGCTCTCATTGACCACAGGGTAACATCTACACCATGGCTTCTAAGGCAGGCGCTCCCAAGAGGGGCTCACTTACCATTCCCAGCCTCAACCTTCCTTGCAGCCAACCAGAACTGCTTCCATTTTCCCTTGGTTTCCTGCCTCTGTGCCTTTGCCTGTGCTGTGACTGCCTGGAATGCCCTTCCCTCCACCACACATCCACACTCCACCACACTTCAAGGCCCTCGTAGTCCCTCCTCACCAAAGACTTCTGTGTCCACGCCTAACTGAGGGGTGGGTCATGGTCAG